CCTCAGCTTTAAAATGAGTTGTCAAATACACCAACAAAAATCCCCACCCATGCATGGCTGGCTGGGGAATTCTGGGAGTTGAAGTCCACACGTCTTCAAGTCGCCAAGGTTGATTAACACTGTGTTATGTGCTTGGTCGCCATTTTATATTTTGGATTTTATATTTATATATTGTACATGTTTTAATGTTATAGGGTTTGGGAGTGTGGTGTGTTTTTTTGGGTTTATTGTTTGTTTTTTGTGTTTTGCATCACGCAGTCATGTTGAGATGGGCAGCCTTATAAATCTAGATAAAAAAATAATAAAGTTGCAACAGATATTCCGCAAAACCCTGTGGTTAACCACGAGGTTGGGGGCTCCCCTACCTCTGACTTTTGTCTACAGTACACATCTGGCCCTTGCACCTGACATAGTCACACACACACACACACACACACACACACCATTCTTAGTGCAAATTATCACAATGTTCCATAATTCTTGCTTCCCAGGCACTGGATAGAATTCAATGAGAGCTGCCCTGTTTCTAGACCTTACCTGAAGTAGTTGACACTCCAGCATAAAGAAGAGAAAGAAACACAAAAAACAGCATCTCGGAAGGCGAAATATGCTTAATCTGAAGGTTACAGAAGAGAGGAGAGTTACAGATAACATGTTATCTTTTACAATACAGTTCTGTGCCTGAAGCACCATTGAATTAAACAGTTCTTCCTCCCAGACGCACCGCTGTAAATTCATGATTGCAGCAGCAAAGAGGCTGGGATATCAGCTTAACTCAGGGATGGTAGGCAGTTGTTCAGTTAGAAGCAGATAAGATGCAGCGAAATATGGAAAGCAAACGCCGGCTCTCGTGAAATACCGATTTTTTTTTTTTTCAGGGAGAGGCAACTGCAAGAAGGAATTGTTGGCTCAAGAATGCTGTTCAGAATTCACAAAGAAACTTCCCCAAGGTGATGGTTAAAGATCACAAGTTATTCTATTTAAAATTGAGACTTCTACCACGGTATTAGGGTGCAAAGATTTGGGATTTCAGTGACGTTGGCTGAAATAAGAGTGCAAAGGCAAATATCTAAAGAGAAAAAAACCATACAAGTAAAGAGAAAAAGGCCCGGATTGCTGTGTGATTAAAATACCACCCCTCCCATATTTCTATGTTGATTCAGAAGCAGGTCCTATTAATTTCAGTGAAATGTATTTCTAAGTCAATGTATTTTGGACTGGATCTGGAACCCTCCTCCTCCTCCTCCTCCTCCTCCTCCTCTCCCTTCCTTCCTTCCTTCCTTCCTTCCTTCCTTCCTTCCTTCCTTCCTTCCTTCCCAAACATGAAAGAGATTCTCCCCATGAAAATGTCATCATCATCTTTTCACTCCTGTAATTATTACCATAAGTGAATCTACTTACAATATTTACATATTTCTGCAGTGCAGCTCTGTAATTTACCTTGCGAAGGTGAATTGTTATTTGGTGAGAGGAGCCCAAGGCAATCGCATTCATCTCATTGTGCTTCTGAGGCTTTAGATTTCAAATAATCTGTTGTTTTCAGTCTCCGCTCCTGCTGCAAATGGGGCCTGATTTGAGAGAAAGGAGCTCCTATTGGTTTGGCAACCATGTGGGTAATTTCTGGAGTTTCATTTTACCTGTTGTTAGCAGCAGGGCACACTAACAAGGCTTCTGTTGTGAGCTAAGATTTCCTGTTCCTATTTAGGAGATCTTCATTCCAGAAAGCAATCCTGGGATGACCATACGCTTGGATGCTTACACTGGACTTTTTAACCAAATAATTTTTCATACTTCAGTTTTCAGATTTGCATGGCAAATAAAAATATGGGCTGCTTTTCTAATTCACTGCTACCTTGGATAAAGAAATTGATTGGCATCGGGGAAAAAAAGGTTACCTTTCTATATATGTAGCTTAAACAGCAGCCTAGAGGCGTGTCGTGGGGAGATAAAAAAAGTCAGGATGGGGACCGTGACCATGCAATCAAAGCCCTGCCCTGGTGACACATGTGAAAAGGGGCAGGGCTTTGATCTTATGGTCATGACCGCCATCTTGACTTTATTGACCTTCTTGCAGACACCCATGGTAGCCCAGGACACAGGGAAAAAGGTGCAGTGAATCCTTAGATCAGTGTTTCTCAACCTTGGCAACTTTAAGATACGTGGACTTCAACTCCCAGAATTCCCCAGCCAGCCATGCTCATCTTAAAGTGGCCAAGTTTGGACAACACTGACTTAAGGGAAAGGGAGGCAGATTCTGCCAGCTGTGTGTTCCTGGTTTTGTCACCATTGTGTGCATTATGGGTTTTCTGTTGCTTCTGCCACAAGGGGTTTCACATGGCCGCTATTTTTATTTTTATTATTTCTAAGGATTTACATAAAAGCACTACTGTTGTCATCTTGCTAGTCGATACTTAGAGGGCCAGTTTCACGCAATTTCAAGCTCCTGCAGCTGTTTGGGCAATGCACCACATTTATGGAGCCTCCCCCGCATGGGACAGCGGGGTCAAAGTCAGGAGTCGAAGGGACCTGCTGCCTTCCGTAGGAACAGAACTGCAGCTCTCATCACGTCCAGAAGGTCAAACCAAGATCTCCATTTCCTTCTCTCAGATATTGTTGGCTCTCATGCAGCGTGCTCAGAAAGGGGTTTGTTTCTCAAGGAGGAGAACGGAAATTGAAAAAGAGGACCTTGAGAAAAAGAACAGGATGCACCTCCATTCAAGATGGACCACTTTGGTTGCATTCATACCACATGCTCCACTTATTCTGTGAGTTAACCCATATTCAGGGTTTGTACAACACACTGAACTATAAATTTATCAAATGAAAGAGCCAGTGTGGTGCACGGGTACAGGTGTTAGACCTGGACAGAGATGGTCTAGGTTCAAACTCAGTCTCACCCGGACGCTCAATGGTGAAATATTTCATGGGGTGGTTGTTGTTGTGAAAGACATGGAAGAAGGAATGCTACATATACCACTAAAGTTTCTGGAAGAAAGGCAGGATAAAAATCCAATAAATAAAATTGGCCTGGCTTAACACAGACTACCAAGCTATGAAAAACTGTCCAGTGTTCAAACTAAGCACGCTTAGCATGTTGTGTGAACACAGCCGGTGGATATCCATTTCCATCCATGCCCAATGTTGTGGTTTATGAATCTGCAGTTGGTGAGGAGCCTCCCTTGAAGCAGGTGGACTCTCAGCCCTGTGAAATCCTCTTCCCCAGAGGGTTTCCTGGGCAGGCAGTGGGCTCCTGCCCAGATGGCGATGCCCAGAGGAACATTATGCAGAGGCACAGAACTGCCACACGATGGCAGCAGAGCCCATAATATTTGAGGGACCGCTTCTCCCTGATTACATCTGCCGGTCCCATTCAGGTCTGGCAGAGAAGGCCTGCCCGGGCGCCCGCCTTGTGGCATCTTCTCTGCCAGGAAGTGGGGTTAGCCCCGTCCCTCTTAACATGCCGCAAATCCCTCAAGACCTGGCTATGTGACCAGGCCTGGGGGTCCCTGGGGACTGGGGAGATTTTGCGATGGCTCCCTTGCTACAGTTAACATCATCCTCTGTGTGTTTTGTATGGTTTTTATAGTTTGAATGATTGCTTTTATATGTATTTATTGGTTTTCTTTTTAACTGAGCATTGTACGCCGCCCAGAGTCACTTTTTTTGTGAGATGGGCGGCTATACGAATACAACAAATAAATAAATAATATTGGTGTGGCTCAGCCCATATTGTCATAATTTTCCATCACGCTGCTGCCTTGAGATCAACTTTGTTCTGTAAAGTCTGTCTGGTGATTTTTTTATCCGTTGATTTGTATTATTACTGTTCACAAATAAAACAGCCCGATCGTATAGCTTTAACCCAAGCATCGCAAGCTGTGTCTTTCTGGATGGCTGATGGGTGGGACGGGCCAGGAATTCTGGGAGTTGAAGTCCCAACAGAAGATGATCAGTCCTAATGTTTAGCACCACAGCAGGGAAATCAAAGAAGCCAAGATGGTGGATTGAAGCCCCGCCTCTTTTGAGGGACATTTAAAAGGGGCAGGGCTTTGATCCACACAGTTGCAATCACCATCTTGACTTATTTGACCCCCCCCCAGCAGACACGAAAGCATGGCCCTTCCGTACATGCCCCTTACTAGGGCACAGGAATGTCCCGGCAACCCCTTTTTGCTGGCATATTCCCATGATGTTGTTTTCATCTCATCTTCAGCCCATAATTGGGAGAAGGTGAAGTCATCCTCAGTGGTACTGGCATTCAAATAAAATTTTCTCCCTTGACTCCAGCCGAGGTGAATTAAATCTGTGAGGCTCTGCCACCCATTATTTTGGAGGGAAGAATCAGGCAACTGGACTTCCTGGGACCCAGTGGTGTTTGCAGGATGTGGTCAAAAAAGTCAAGATGGGGCCGTGGCTGGCGATTGAAGCTCGCAACGTTTTTAATGTGCAACGTCACGGCCTGTCTTAAATTTTTCTGGTCACACCCTGCAAATTCCTCTGGGTCCATAGGAAATAATTTTTAAAATCCTGTTTTTTCTTACCCCTAACGTGGCTGCATTGAATTAGGGGGAAATAAAAGTTGGAGGTGCTGGGGGCAGCATTTCTGCAGCCAGGAAGCATTCAGAAGTTGCAACAATTCCTTGCCCTCTTTAAAATGGAGCTCATGAGAAATTGTGGGGAGGCTGGAAAAAGGATCGACAAGAACCCAGGCATAAATGTCAAGAGATAGTAGATGAGTCAACGGACATTCATCTCATAAAAGGCAACTTAGTCCATGTTGAGAGAGACTGGGAAGAAGCATTATAAAGCTGAGAAATTCCTTGTAAGTTTCCAAAAATTCTGTATTTGTCCCAAGCCTTAAGGATACCTTAGGGAAATTGATGCACTTTTTGCTTTTTTGATCTTTTATTTATTTATCTTATTGATTTATATATCAAATTTGTCACCACCCATCTTGTTGAGCAACTCTTGCCCTGATGGATGCGGCTTCACTGATCTATATCTCGACATCCCTTTTTTTTACTCCAGGAACAGAACTTAGGCATGGAGATGCAAGAATCAGAAAAGCTTAAACTGTCTGATATTTTATTTTTTCAAGCCATTGCTTGAAAGACCGGGAACCCTGAGGGGAAAAATGGCTATCGGTGAACCAGGATATCTGGAATTTTTGAAGATATGATATCTAGAATACCTCAAAATGGTCTTTTAATTCAGTGCTCCTCTTAAGGGTTCAAAGCAGTTCACGTATACTATCCCAGCCATTGCTGAATTCCTCCCTGCAACCTGACTATTAAGGACACAGAACTTGATTACAGTAAAAAAGGAGAGTCAGTCCTCCCCCACTTCCTCTGTCCTGTCCTTCTCTTCTGACTCATTCTCCCTTTTCAGCAATCGTTGGACGCTTCTCCTTTTTCGCATTTTGCAAAAGCTGAAAAACCAAAGGGTGTTTTTGATAGGGAAGCAGCAGCCTGGCCAGGGAGGCTATGAACCAGACCCCTTGGGCACCATAGTTGACCGGGAGGGTTGCCAAGTCTCGCTTGGTAGCCCAGCTTGGACAGGGAGCTGCAGAAGGTGGCCAGGCGCCTCTCGGTTCTCCTCTGCGTGTGCCTGGGGCTGTCTGAAAAGCCTTGGCTTCGCTCAGATTCTCCTGCTCGTCTGTGAATCATTCGCCTGTTCCGGCTGGCTTGCTCGCTCCAGCCATCCAGCGCACGCAAGAGCCCTGCGCATACCTTCCTGATGACTTTATCCGTCTGGGCTTCCTCATCTTCTGGTTTCCATCTCTTTCATCTTCCTCCTCCCTCCCTTTGCTGGCATTTTCTTTCTTTTCGGCCGATGGGATGGGAAAGATGATTTTTCCACTTTATGGATTTCATGATCACCACTGGCTTCCTTCTCTTTATGTGGCCAAGGGGACCCAACGCTCAGTGAGTCTGCCTCCGGACAAGCACAGTTCCGCCTAGGCTGGAGGGTGATTCGGAAGCAGCCTTCGCTCCCTGGATTCCAGCGATGCCACAGAACGGCTGTGTCCAGACAACAAGCTAACCCCTGGTTAGACCAAGCAGAGTTTCAGGAATGACCCATTGGCTGAGTTCATACAATATAAACCAGGCAACTGCCATTTCAGCCTGAGTGTTGTGTGAACCCAGTCAAGGTGATAAAAGGATTACCTCCCTTCACCGTAAGAAAGGAATTACCTTTATTTAACAAATAAAAACATAAACCTTCAGTAGGTGAGCTGGAACAAAATCATCTACTTCAAGCATGTGCTTTTTTTACATGGAGAATTAAAAAGAAAAAAATGAAATGGATCTCTTTCTTCCAATTCAAAAACCAGCCACTGTTCCACCTTAGGATTTACCACCACCTTTCTCTACTTGACAGCCCTTTAGAGTGGTCAGGCCACCGTGAATGATGGGAGCTGTAGTCTGACATCCAGAGCCCTGCCTGGTTGAGAAAGGCTGCCTTATACGGTAGCTACAATGCAATTGTTCCTCACCCTCGTTTGGCAACTAGCCCTCTCTTGCTTATGGGCAATGAATAGAAATTCCAAAAAATCAGGTAGGAAAGGAAATT